CCTCATTCGCAAAAGCCAGCGTCCCAGGCTCAGGTTCGGCGAGTACAGTGTCCAAAGCTGCAGCTTCGGCAAGAGGTCGTCTCGCAGGTCTACCCTTTGAAAAAGAACTGTTTCTGCTCCGAGTTCTGGAAATCTTGGACGATCTTTCGCCGCGACGCGGAGAGCTTTCCGGTGATTGGTCGCCTGAAGCCCTAGTACCGTCAGAGAGTGAGTCCCACGGTTCGGAGTGGAACTTTCGCCGAAGCTGCAGGTCACGTGCCGATTCGACCAAGCCCGAGTGGCTCGATTTACGATCGTCTGTTTCTCTCAACAAAGGGACTGTTGTAACGGCATGGTAACTGCTACAGAAGCGAACGCTTGCGATCGACGGCCAGGATGTGATGATCGGGAAGCCAGACGCACTCCTCATTCTGTTGGCGGGAACAAAGGCGCGATCGAATGTTGAGGCGCGGAAGTTCGCTGCAGCGCTCGTTGAAAGCTCCCCGCAACGTTTTCCCACAGGTGCGGTTGGCGTGACATTTCGTACACGTTCTGATAACGTTCCGTGATTCCCGGAACTCGACGTGCCGACACGGAAGTTAGTAGATGCTTGAGGGAACTCATTTGCAGATGGACGGCCTACGGAAGGGAGGAGCGAGTGAAATCGACGACCCAGAATTGGCCAAAACTGCCGAATGCTCACAAGACGGCGCCTTCCGGCCATAGCCATGACGGAACGGCAGAAGCGGGATTTGATTTTCAAAGCACTCTAGTCATTGACATAGTGTGAATGGATTCCATTGGAGAAGAGTGTGCCGAGAATGACTACGAAAGGTCACTGAGAGTCACCGTTTTTAACGCAACTCGATGGAGTAGGTGGAAGTGACAAGCAGCCTGTGTCACTACTAAGGACGGGATATCATCCCCGCAATAATCCTAAACCCCTCTACTCCCTCCTTATAGTCACGTGTGATTGAAACATTCAATATCGGACTGATGGGTTTCACAGCGCATGACCAAATTCGGTTTCCCCTGGATGTTCCCTGAGCGAAGATCTGACATTTCGTAGATCAAGGGCAGGTTTTCGCACTAATGGAACGATTCAGTAACTCACGACTGGCGAGGGACCCCATTTCGCAAGACCTACGACATTTTGCTTCCCTTTTATCTTCGCTACGCGAGAGCCCAGCTGAAAAGAACTGCACCGTTCTCTAATTGATGTGGCCGTACTGCACCACGCGGTAGCACAATATAACCAGATGAAACCAGCTACAACCCATCTGAAAAGTAGCAGCACCCATATCGTCATTGTTCGTGCTCGAGAAGGTGGTGTGACTGGCAAGCATCCAGGGCATTTCTGTTTCCTAGATTGTACTCTTGCATGCAGTCAGCAGCAACATGAGTAATGCGTGTCCTGGATTTAGCGAATGAGATCCTTGGTAACAGCCCATTTGCCTATCATCCATCGTTCAGCTTGCTGCCATACTTCGATATAAATCCTTGACGGCTACATCAACGCATATGTTGCCCAACCCCCGTATTCAGGCATTACTCTGGTGCGTTTCTCTCAATCGCGATTTGTCCTCGAGTATGTTTCTCTTTCTGTTTACTGTCGTTTCATATTACGAAGTCAGATACGCCATTCCTTGATGCTGCAAGAGCGCCGTGTCACCGTCAGATTGTCAACTGAACAATACATTTCGTGGAGAATCTCAGAGAGCTGAGGTAAGAACACTTAAGTCTGCTTCCTGCACAGCGTCGTACTTCGGATTGGATTTGTTTGGCAAACATATAGTTATGGGTGCCTCCTGTTTTACAGGACTCAAGCTTCATTGAAAGGTCGCCATGAAGCGGACAACGGCCTTTCGAATTCTGTCACTTCCAGACGAGATCCTCACAGTCGTATTTCAATGTGTTTCAAGTCGTTCGGATCGACGCAATATCGCTCTCACTTGCTCACGCTTTCGCCACGTGATGAAACAAGCACAGCTTTCACTCGATCTACACGTTCGGAGGTCCCCCTTGGAGCTCGTACAACGATTGGCTCGCCTTTCCAAGGCCAAGTACACCTGTATTTCAAGTCTGGCCATTTTTGGAAAATCCAACCCGCAGGATTTAAGAAGTCTGACGTGTTCCTTCACTTCAGAAGACACACGTCTGTTGTCAACCGTTGGCTCAACTTGTCCCGACTTGGAGAGCTTACGGATCTTTGCCCTTGACGACCTGAAAGAGAGTGCCTGGAGAAAGCTGGGTGAAGGATGCAGGTGAGCAGAAGCTTGGCTCTCCAGTTGCTTCACCGTTTTCATCCTAGCTGTATCATACTTTCATCGCTTTCACAGTTTTTACTTTCTCCTGGCTGATCCTGTTTTTTGTCGTCTCAGGATCCTGTCCAACTTGGAGATTTGTTTCGTATCGCCACCTGTCGTCTACCCTCCATTTGACATGTTCCGCTCATTAAAAACTCTCGGGCTTCACCTCGACAAATTTGACTCGCACGTTCCCTCCCTCGGTCTCTGCTCCTCCCTGACGTCTCTCACCCTCTGGAACTGCAACGGATTCCACCTCTCCAAACTTGCTTCTTCCTCCCCTCTTCCCTCCTTACGGTCTCTCACCCTCTATAATTCAATTCTCACAAGCTCTTTATCATCTTTCGCTTCCTTTCCCAACCTTTCATCGATTTCCTTCCATTCGTGTATGGGGCTGGATGTTGACGATATGCAAGCTCTTGCTTGCTTTCTTCACAGCCTCACACACTTGACACTAGACAACTGCCTCCTGGTTTCAATTTCAGGTGTAGCAGCAGTTGTTGAGAGCAACCCGAAACTCACATCCCTCTCTTTGCAAGAAGGCTCGCATCTTCTATTAAGTCCACCGCGGTTCAAGGCCTTGCTTGCTTGCTGTCGCCACCTTTCTACACTCAGCCTTTCTGTAGGACTTGTACTTCATTCCAGTTTGCTTGCAGAGTGCAGCAGCCTGCAGAGTCTTTCCATCAATGATGGAAGCGGATCTCTAGAAGGCTTGGCTGGTATGGTGCTGCGAGTGGAGAAAGCAAGCACAGATGGAGGGAACAGTATGAGGCAGGAGAAGGCTGGAAATGGGGAAGGTGCAAGGCAGAGGGGAGCAAGATGCGGCAAGGTGGTCAGTAAGGCATCAATATGGGGAAGAAGAGGCCATCTGGTTCGTGTAGCTGCTGCTGCTGCTCGACAAAACACAGTCTCGGCTTTGAAGCAGTGGGATGGCTTGCATGGTCACTGTTTATGTGAAACAGGATCGGTACGAGGGGAGCTGTTGAGCACAATTTATGGGTTTGAGAAGAGAGGGCCAGCAGTTTCGATCTATGAGATCCAGACTGCAATGACTCACTTCAAGCTGAAGATTTCTGCGTGTGGCCTCCTGCAGCAGGTTCATGCTGAAGCAGAAGCTGCCTTAGAGGACGAAGAGGCTTTAAAGAGACTTATCTCAGCTGTCGGAGACTTATCAGCTTTTATTCTGAGGCCTGGAGAGGCGGCGGGAGCAGCGGAATCAGCATCAGTGGCAGTACCAGCAGCAACAGCAGCAGCTACTCCAGGATCAACGCAAGGATTAGCAGCTGAAGAGGGATCAGGATGGCCTTTGGTGGACGAATCCGACACTGCTGCTGGTTCGGATCCTAGGGAGCAGGTTCGAACTATGATCGTCGCTATGAGAGCAATGTGTACGCAGCTTGAGGCAGTAGATCAGGCTCTTCGCGATCCAGCTCCGGTACTGATTCCAAGGCCCACATCACCTGAGCTGCATTTCTCCGGCAATCTGAGAATGGAGGCACATGGCATAAGAAGTGCAGGTGAAGCTGTATCAGTTGATTTCAAAGGCCCTCTGCTTCGATCCTTGTCCCTGAAAGGCTTCCAGTTCAACACCTCAGCAGAACAACCAGCCTGGCTGCAGGAAGCCTTCAACCAGCAGCCAAACCCGTCCATCCCTGATGCCTCCTCTTCATCCGCCTTACACGCAACATCAGTTACCGCACTCAAACCCCACATCTCGGTCCGGTCTACACTATACGCTGCTGCCTTTGGGGGATTGCAGAGGCTCTCTCTTGAAGGCTGCTCGGGCCTTGACGAAGAGGACTTGGCTGCTCTACTCAACGCATGTCAGGGCTTACTTCACCTGACAATGGACGTTAACGATGATTTTTCCGACAGGGTGATTGATGGGGTAAAATTGTTGTTTCTCTCCTCCCTCAGCATGCTGTCCTGTGAGGGAGTCTCTGCTGCTGGTGTTGACGGGCTTCTGAGAAGCTTCCCCAGGGTAGCGCGGGTGAAGGTGGACCGAGAGAAGGTGACTGAGAGGACTGGCAGGGTGCTGGGGCGTGCGGGTGTGATTGTAGTGAGTGACTGATGGGAGGTGGGGAGGGAAGGGTGGATGGTTCATTTGGCAATGTAGCTGGTCCTAGGGGGATACAAGTCTTGTACATATTTTGCGGCATCTTTTGAACTGGGGATTGATATTTGTTTTCAGATATAAACATGTTGCTGAGTTTTCTGACATGTAGTGTCATTGTCTCGCGTCAATGCTGTTGTTCTCTATGTCTGTGTTTATACATTCTTCAAGAATGGTTCATGAGAGCACTGTAAGTGCCCAGATATGAGCCCCCCTAGGTCTAGCCCCCGATATTGTTATGTGGTATTGGCCTGATACAGCATACCGGTACATACACCAACTACACTCATGGTCCAATTTCTTGGAAGGAAAGGAAGAACAGATAGTACGGAAACATGCGCATACGGAATGATATCAGAATCAGGTGAAAAGAGTATATTTCATACCGTAATCCCCAGGTGATAAGAAAAGAGCTGATTAACAGCTCCACCATGGTCGAACAAACTCAAAGCCCCTAGGGTCCCACATACGGGCAAATACTCGTATTTACGCATTCACCAGCCAGCCGACAATGCTCACGGATATGCACTCATGATCCTCAACGCAGTTTCACCCCCCTCATCGACCCAAGCAGCATTCCCGGCTAACAAACCATCCATAGTTCAGCCTCCAATCCCACGCCGCCACCTGTACTCCACCACCAGCCTATCTGCCAGCGCAGCAAGCCGCTCTTCATTGGTGGGCGCCAGCTGGCAGACCTCCCCCGCCAGCGAGGGGACGACGTTGCCGTGGGCTTTAAGAGCGTCCTCTGCCACTCGCTGCAGCAGCTGGATGTTCCTCCGTGATGCGTTGTCCATCCTGGTTGAGATGGACGGCAGGGATTGCACCTGGAGGCGGGAGGGTGGGTTGGTGGGTGAATGCGGGGGTTGGTGGGGGGAGAGCGAGAAGAGGGAGAAACAGATGTATGTGAAGCCAGGGTAGTAGAAAGATGGGGACAAGCCAGGCAGCTGAAACGCCTCCCCTGCTAGCGAGGGGACGACGTTGCCGTGGGCTTTAAGAGCATCCTCTGCCTCTCGCTGCAGCAGCTGGATGTTCCTCCGTGATGCGTTGTCCATCCTGGTTGAGATGGACGGCAGGGATTGCACCTGAAGATCGATGGGTGGGTGGGAAAGAGAGCAAAACAGATACATGCGATGTGAAGAAAGGGTAATACAAAGAGTTTGAAAAAGGCCAGACACCTCCCCCACCTATCTATCATGTGATTGGGAAACTGCCAGCTGGCAGGTGACACTGTGCATGCATACTGTGGGGCACCTCAAAGGCATTTCCCACTCCACTGCTCAATGCTCATCTCGCTCACCTCAATGCGAGTGTAGTTGTGTATGGCCCCATCTGCCAGAGCCAGCTGGCACATCTGAGCATGCACCATGTTGCCTCCACCCCACACCATCAATAGAAGCACCTCACACACTCACCCCACCTACTCACCTCAATGCGTGTGTAGTTGTCTATTGCACCATCTGCCAGCGCGAGCAGGCACATCTGAGCATGCACCATGTTGCCTCCCCCCCACACCATCACATCCACCATCGGCTCTGCCCATCCAATCAGGCCCCACCTGCGAATGCAAGGCAGGGGTGGATGCACACACACAGGAGAGCATGAGTGGTATGTGTGGAACTGAGGGCACGGAGTGACCTAATAGCCGCCCCACACCATCACATTTACCTGGGCTCTGCCCACCTGATGAGGCCCCACCTGGGGAGAGGCAATGCGGGAATTCAAGGCGTGGGTGCACACAGGAGGGAAGGAGTGAAATGAGTGGCACTGAGGGTACTGAGTGTGAGTGACTTGGTAACCGCCCCACACCATCACATCCACCATTGGTTCTGCCCACCCGATGAGTCCCCACCTGCAAATACAAGGAATGGTTGGGTGCACACAGGATGGCATGAGTGGCAAGTGCATCAGTGTGGGTACAGAGCAGAGTGTAAGTGATCTGATATCCGACTGACACCATCACATCCACCATTGGTTCTGCCCACCCAATGAGCCCCCACCTGGAAAAAACAAGAGAAAGGGGCCAGATGCCAAGCACCAGGCATGAGAGCACACGTAAGGGCATGAGAGGTGTGTTTAGCACTGAGGGCACTGAGAGTGGGCGTGTCTAACCGCCCCACACCATCACATCCACCATCGGCTCTGCTCTGCCCACCCAATGGGGATCCACCCGGGGAAAAGAGAAAGGGGCCAGATGCCAAGCACCAGGCATGAGAGCACACGTAAGGGCATGAGAGGTGTGTGTGGCACTGAGGGTACTGAGTGTGAATGACTGTGACCACCCCACACCATCACATCCACCATCGGCGCTGCCCATCCCATGAGCCGCACCTGCGAAGAAGATAGAAGCGATGCCTTGCAGGTGCCGAGTACAAGGCATGGGTGGGTACAGAAGGGGCATGAGTGGTACGCTGCAGGGTGTTTTTGAGAATTCTCAAAAACACCCTGCAGCAAAAAGATATAGCAATGCCTTGCAGGTGCCGAGTACAAGGCATGGGTGGGTACAGAAGGGCATGAGGGGTATGTGGAGCAACTTGCAATTTTGCATGTCTTGCACCACCCACCCCCTCACGCACTTTTTAACTTCCTCAATAGAGCATCGCCGCATGTGCTCCTCCACTTGCAGCGACAACAGCGCCACCACCTTAAATCTCCGAGGAAGTTACAACTCTGCGTGTAGTAAGTCGATTTTTGAGTCGACTCAAAAATCCACTTGCAGCGACAACAGCGCCACCACCTTAAATCTCCGAAGAAGTTACAACTCTCTTCTCAGTACCAACATTTGTTGCAACAAACCTCCTGGTACAAATCTAGCGCCACACTCACTTCTTGACCTCGTCAATCGAGTATCGCCGCATGTGCTCCCCTGCTCCCAGCGACAGCACCACCACATCTCGGAATGTCAGCCGAGGTCGAGACAGAGGTTCCTCCTCACACACCTCGCTGCTGCCCGCTGCTTCCCCTCCCCCGATCCCTGCTCCTCCCTCCCCTCCTTCCCCCGATTCCCGAGGTCGAGACAGAGGTTCCTCACACACCTCGCTGCTGCCGGCTGCTCCCCCTCCCCCGATCCCTGCTCCTCCCTCCCCTCCTTCCCCCGATTCCCGAGGTCGAGACAGAGGTTCCTCACACACCTCGCTGCTGCCGGCTGCTTCCCCTCCCCCGATCCCTTCTCCTCCTTCCCTTCCTCCTTCCACCCCCTTTCTTGCTGCTACCCCTTCTGCTCCTCTTTCTGCTCCTGCTTCCCCTTCCCCTCTTCTCTCTCCTGTTTCCGCACCCCTGCTGCTGCCTGTCCCTGCTCCCCTCGCCCCTCGCTCCACCCCTACCCCTTTACCCACTTTCCTCTCCCTCACGGCATCACACAGCAGCGGGCTTGTACTCAACTCTGCTGCCTCCTCCATATCACCAGCTAACAGGCAGCTCGCATCAGAAGATGCTGCACCAGCCATACCCCCCTTCAATCCTCGTTTCTTCTGCACGGCATCACACAGCAGCGGGCTTGTACTCAACTCCGCTGCCTCCTCCATATCACCAGCTAACAGGCAGCTCGCATCAGCAGATGCTGCACCTTCTATTGCTGCTGCAGCAGGTGAGATTTCTCCACATAAATTCCCTGCACTCGTGCCTGCTGCTACTGCTGCTGCTGCCTGTGAAAGGCTATCTGCAGCAGCAACAGGAGCTGAAGACGAGGGATGAAGAGGTGCAGCAACAGGTGCTGCCTGTGAAAGGCATCTGTGAGAGGCATCTGATGCCTTAACTTCTCCACCTCTCATTTCCTCAGCATCAGTAGTGCCTGCAGCGTTGTGTGCCGCATTACTTGCAGCGCTGCTTGCGCCGTTTCCGTTGCTTGCGCCGGGAGGTTTGAAGGTGGACGGGTTGGCGACTATGTGAAGGAACGCTGCTACAGTCTGCACAGGACAGCGCAGGCCATCCATGAGGACAAGACGACACATCAGAACCATACATCTCATGGAAGTAGTGTGAAAAAAGAAGGAGCATTTCCGTTTTCGCAAAGCGGAAGACAATGCTATGTAACAGGGCACAGAGAGAGTATATAAGAGAGTAGGGTATAATAAAAAGAATTACGCAGAGAAACCATAATGTATGAAGAGAAAGAGTTGAAATGAGAGCCATTTGAAAAGTCAAGACGTGAGAAATTCAAGTAAAGCATGACGGGCAGGGAAGCGAGCAGGGGAGCACCAAAGAAGTGGCAAGTAGCGTTGACAGAGCTGCCACACCATTTCCCCATCCAAATATACCCAACGTCTCCTCCAATCACAACATACCAGATCGCCATGCCACAATGCCACATAAAACCCATGCCCACCCATTCATAGGGTTACTAGCCACCATGCCCCCAAGCTTACAGGGTTGTTGGCGACCATGCCCCCATCCACGCACACCATTTCCCTCCGCCCATCCACCGATCGAACGAGAGCCGGCATGAAGATGCTGGGAGCTGCTGACGTGGCTCTGCACGCCTGGTTTGTTGGAAAAGAAATAATGCGGAGCAGCAAGAGATTCATTAATCAGCATGCCCACTCATCCTCCTACTATCTCCCTCCTCCCATCCACTGATCGAACGAGCGCCCGCATGAAGATGCTGGGAGCTGCTGACGTGGCCCTGCACGCTTGCTCGGGTGGAAAGGGTAAGAAGTAAGAAAGTTATTGATCACCATGCCTCCACATTCATGTTTTGAAGCTGCTGACGTGGCTCTGCTGCTCTGCCCGCCTGCTCGGACCAAGAACACCGGCCACGGATAAGATGGGGAGGAGTAAAGAAGAGGAGAGTGAGGCTTTAGGCTGGTAAGCTGTCTTTCTGGTTGCTCCTCTGTTCTGTCTCTATTTTGGTTATGGATGGTTGGATCCTACAGGCCCAAGTTCTCTCCGCGCACTCGCGTGGTGGCAAAGGAGAAGTTTTTCACCCTAAACTCAACGTGGACAGCTAGCCAGGCTGCGGCGCACCACTTTCTTCATGAGTCACGACTGCATGGTGCGCAGGCCAGGTGGGTGCACACGTTGAGGGTGAAGGGCTTCACTTTTGTCACCACGCAAGCGCGCGTAGAGAATTTAGGCCTGGAGGGACCAACCATCCATGGCCAAGAGTGAGATAGAGCAGAGAAGCTACAAGATGAACAGTTTGCCAAGTTGAACTCACACGAACTCACTACTCACATGGATAAGCGGGAAGTCGTGGCTCGGGTTGGACAAAGCCCTCAAGCTGAGGGGAGGAGTGGGGTACGACAAGCCCTGTACCCACACGAACTCACAAGTCGCCATCACCACTCACCTAAAACAGCGGGAAGTCATGGCTCGAGTCGGACAACGCCCGCAGGCTGAGGAAGAAGCACAGCCGGAGCCAACTACAAAGCCTAATGAATGACCCCCCATCGTACCACACAGGCTCTGTAACAACGTCTCACAACGTGCCACCACACAACCCGCACTCAAAACTCGCCTGTATAAGAGGGAAGTCATGGCTCGAGTCGGACAAAGCCCTCAGGCTGAGGAAGAAGTATGGTCGGGCGGCGCTGATGTCATATGACGTCAGCAGGAGAGGTTTGACAGCCTCTGATAGGCAGAGGTCCGCCGCGCCACAGTGCTGCCTGAGGAAATGACGCAGAAGCTGCTCCAGGACCTCCACCTGACGAGGAAGGGCGGGGTACAGAGCGGTATAGATGGGTGCAGGGAAGTAGCTGAGATACGCTGTAGTGCTGCCTGAGGGATTGACGCAGAAGCTGCTGCTCTAGGACCTCCATATGAGAGAAAATCGGGGGGAGAGGGGGTGGAGGGCGGCGAAGATGGGTGCAGTGAAGTGAAGTAGCAGAGAAGAGCCATAGTGCTCCCTGCGGAAAAACGCAGAAGTTTCTCCAGGACGTCCACCATCCACCTGAGAGGGGAAGGGGGGGGGGGGGGGAGTCAGGGAGAGAGGTGGTGCAGGGCGGGAATATGTGGGGCTGGGGAAAGAGGTGGGGTGAGAGGAGAAGGAACAGAGGAGGACTGATGGAAACAAGTGCAGCATCCAGGTTGTACTCGCTATAAACCGACTCACCTTGTACTTGGGGCGCCATGTATTGCTCAAAGTAGCAGCCCATTAGAGGCCAGAAACGCCGCCTGAAGATGTGCATCGAGTGAAGCGTCCAGTTTATACTCACTATAGGCTGACTCACGTATCTTGTAATTGGGCTGCCATATGTTCCGCAGTGTGGCAGCCCATCGCGGCCAGAATCGCCGTCTGAAGATTTGCTTTGAGTGGAGCGTCCAGAAGTCTGCCACGTCCTGAGCCCTGATGGCTGGTCGCCCCCCCTGGTACTCCTTATAAGCCTACTCACCTTGAATTTGGGCCGCCATTTGTTCCTCAGTGTAGCGGCCCATCGGGGCCAGAATCGCCACCTGAAGATGTGCTTTAAGTGGATCGTCCAGAAGTCATACTCACTATAAGCTGATTCACCTACCTTGTACTTGGGGCGCCATATGTTTCTTAGGGTGGCGGCCCATCGCGGCCAGAACCTCCTCCTAAAGATGTGCTTGGAGTGTAGTGTCCAGAAGTCTGCCACGTCCTGAGCCCTGATGGCCGGTCGCCCTGTCTCCCTGTGGGGCGCTGTGAGCATGAGAGCTAGCAGACCCCCGCCGCTGGTGCCTGGGGTGACAGAGGGAGGAGGGAGAGACGGAAATTGCACACCCAGTTCTCTATACTCTGAGCCCTGATGGCTGCCCTGATGGCAGGCCGCCCCGTTGCCCTGTGAAGCGCTGTGAGCACGGGATGTGTATACACGGGCAGCCGGGAAGAGACAGCAGGGCGGCTCACCAGCAAAGAGGTCGAAGAAATCCGCCAGTCGCACGTTGGGATCCCCGCACCCCTCCTGCAGCATGGCCTCCAGGCGCACACAGATCTGCGTGAGAATGGCGTCTCTCACTCCCCCTCCATCCACACTCTGCACCGCCAGGAGCAGTGGGGTTAGGGATGGGAGAGGAAACAAGGCAGCTCACCAGCAAAGAGGTCGAAGAAATCCGCCAGTCGCACATTCGGATCGCCGCACCGCTCCTGCAGCATCTCTTCAAGACGAACGCAGATCTGCGTGGGAATGGCGTCCCTCACTCCCCCTCCATCCACACTCAGCATCGCCAGCAGCCTAGGAGGCCGGGAGGGGAGAGGGGCGATAGAACCACCACCTCTTGGTGCTGTGGAAGCACCAGCATCGGCACCACTGGCACCAGTCGCATCAGCAGCAGCAAGACCACCTCGTGCTGCCATGTCAGCATCAGCACCACTGCCTGCTGCCACGTCAGCATCAGCACCACTGCTTGCTGCCACGTCAGCATCAGCACCAACGCCACTTCCTCCTCCGCCCCCGGCCCCTCTCCCTACGGGACCACCAGGGCTTACCCCGGCTTCGCACCTTCCTGGAAGCTCCGGATACATCTGCATGAGCACGCCACTGTTTGAAATCAGATTCCCTTGTAAACCTTCCTCCAGCCTTTCTCCCACCCCCTCTCCCAATCCCCCCAAACCCTCTCCCGCTCCCTCTCCCAATCCCTCTACCACTCCATCCGACGCCCTCTCGCCCCCAGACCCTCCCCCCTCCTCAGGCGTCTCAGAGCTCTCCCACACACCAACCCGCTGCAAGCCCCCCACTCCGTGCCGTAAGTCTCCTGCCTCAGGTGATTCGGGCGATTCAGGTGCCTCAGGTGATTCAGATGATTCGGGTATTTCAGGTGAACCATTCTCCCTTCCTCTCTGCTTTCCCCTACCCCCCCTTAACCGCCATAAGCACCCCTTCCCACCCCTCCTTACTCCCCTTTCTACATTGCTCTTCTCATTTTTCATCACCCGCTCGTTTTCCATGCTGATCTGGCTGGTAGAGGAATCTGGATCTTTCTTCTTTGAAGCCCAGAAGCCAGTGAATCTGTGCCACGTGGAGCCTTTCCCTCCTCTCATTTGCTTCACTGCCAGCTCACATGCCACACACTCCTCCTCACACACCACCACCCCCTCCTCCCTCACTCCCCCACGCACTACCTCACTCACTCCCTCACTCTCTCCTCCACTGACACTCCCCTCCGAGTTTTCCCAATCCTCTTCCTCGCACACCACCTCATCTTCTCTCTCTATCTCCCGCACTCCCCCCCTCCCCCTCTCCTGCATCCCTTCCCACTCCCTTATATCCTCACACACCACCACCTCTTCCCCCGTATCCTCTCTCTCACTCCCACCCCTACTCCCCCCCTCTTCTTCCTCCTCATCCTCGCTAAGAGGTTCGAAAACAAGACCACCAGGGGAACGAAACGAAACCTCCTCGAAATTCTCATAACCCTCCATCTTGGAGGCTCTTTCTGGCAAATCCCCACCGTCCGATCCTGTTGCCATACCGCCTCCCTGTGAATCAGCGCAGCGCCTCCCTTCCTTGCTGGGAATATGAATTGAGAAGAACACGCAATTCCTGCTCGGATCTCTCTCCCACCGCCCCACAACCGCTGGGGAAGGTGTGTGCTGGATCTAACCTCGATTTAGTCAATCTCGTAAACTTACAAGGATCGCTGGACGCACTGTAGTACGCTGGTGCCAGTACACGATCATGACGGTAAATTTGCAGCGGTTTAGCCGAACCCGCCAAACATACTGCACGCGAATCGGACGGTCCAAATTGTTCTCCCATCGCAACAACCGCACTTATGATTGGGATATCTCGAAGCAGCAACATGGCACCTAGCGAACGTATACCAAGAAGCTCCAATATACGGAATCTGATTATATTAGCAGCTTGGCCGAAAGCTTCGAATCTGCTCAGCAGTTGCCAGCTGGTTGTGCTAGTGTGACGCAAGAATGACGTAGGTGTAACGTGGAGATTAAGCTTAAAAGCTGCATGAGCGACAGCTGTGACGTGGCTGCTAGAGTCGCAAACTAGTAAAGCGTGGCGTGGCGATGACACGTAGCATTCGTTGCTCGGTCGGATCATCATGCAGCGAGAGTAGCGACCGGCGCAAGGCTGACAAGTGAGTGAGCTGTTACTTTTTAAAAAAGCGAAGCATTTACAACAACGAGAAGAAAGGACCATGGCCCGGGTCTCTCTCTCAATCTGAATTCCGGAAAACAATGCATGCTTTGCAGAAATCGGATTCAGCTGGTAAGAAATTCCTCACCTGATATCTGAATCTAGGCATATCGCATTTATGCCCCACTGTAAAGTTCCAGTTGCTGACGAGACCGATCCGAACCGAGCAGAACAATCGAATACATCGACTGTGATGTGTTTCATCCCTGCTCTGACATCTGCGAGGTGGATGCCAGAACTGCTTCGCTTCGAAGCGTCGCGCTATGGAGCTAGCACAAGATAGCCTCAATTGAAAAACATAAAGATCTTATTATTCTTTGCCATGCTACAACCACATGAAATCAAACTAAGATGCTTCTTCTTCGTCATCCTCAACACCAAATACCGACGCAAGTTTTTTTGGTGGAGCTGCAGCTTTTGACTTCCCAAAAAAACCCTGAAAAGCAAGCACAAGCGTTGACGGTCAAATCATAAACCATCATCTTCCCCCCATAGGGAAGATGCTATGCACTGCTTTATCCAAATGACAACGTTACCTTCTTTGCAGCCCCTGGTTTGGTCTTCATTGAGATGCCAAATTTGAGGGCAGAGCGATCAGCGGGAATCGCTGAAGTCGCTGCAGCTGGACGAGGCGCTGCTGACACAGCTGATGCTCCTGCTGTTTCTACAGCTGCTGCTGCTGGCGCCACACCAGTCGGCTGCTGCTGCTGCTGTTGCTTCTGGGCCTCCACACTGCAAGGACCGATAAAGAAGAATGAAGTAGTTAACGAGCAGACAGTGTCGCAAACTATCCTTCACTGAATTACCATAACCACGATGCAAAGATGCACACAGAAACAGGATCCGGTGCGGCATCAAAGTCCTCGAGCAAAAGATGGGAGTCACAGCTTGGCATAGCGTGCCAGCTCCTCCTCCTCCTCCTTCAGATCCTCTTCTCTCTGCGGCGTTTTAATCGTCGACTCAACAACCAGGCAAGCCATCTACGTATCTGAGCAGGAGACAAAAAACGGGACTCGCAGCTTGGCGTAGCGTGCCAGCTCCTCCTCCTTCCTCAGCTGCTCCTCGGCTTAGGGACATCTGAGTCGAGTCGACAACCAGGCAAGGCATATCTAAGGGGACTTGAGAAAGAGCAGAAGAGTGGCTCACAGCTTGGCGTATCGGGCAAGCTCCTTCTCCTCCCTCAGCTGCTCTCTCCGCTGCCTCTCGTCCCGCACCCCCTGCTGCTGCATCTTCTTGGTTTCTTGGAATCGCTGCGCGGAGGAATTTGATGCGATGGAGAATGGAGAATGGAAAATGGAAAATCCGGTTTTTATATTGGAGAACGGCAAAGAGCTCAGTGAACAGGGCTAGTTGGTTAAACCGACACCGAAAGCTAATTGAGGTTAGATACTTTTACATATAATATAATAGATACTCACAATTGATGGCGACATTTGAGAACTGGGTTAGCTGCCGTTAGAAAAACACCTACGTGATTGTAGCGAACCCAAACACCAGTAGCCACAATTACCAGTTAACACCATTGGAGCACAGCATTGAACAGGATTCTAGGCAACGTTTGAAATCATAAGGAGCCTTTAAAAGAGCTCTGAACAGAAACCAGCCGAATAGAAGCCCTCGAACCCCTCAAACCTTTCACCACCCCTCAGCACCCCTTAACACCCTTTGCGAACTCTCAGCACCCCTCAGCATCCCTTAATACCCCTTAAGATCTCTCAGCACCCCTTAAGATCTCTCAGCACCCCTTAAGATCTCTCACCACCCCTCAGCACCCTTTAACACCCCTTAAGATCTCTCAGCACCCCTCATCACCCCTTTAAACCTCTCAGCACCGTGCACCTTTTTGTGGTTGTGGTCGTAGCTGCTGAGGTGCATCTCCATCTCGCTCGCCAGCTTGTACTGCTTGTTGCACAGCTCGCACAGAAACACCCTCTGAATTTCCTTCACATCTGCCCGTATTTTCTCCACCCTATCCGCCTCCTCCTGAAGCCCAGCCCACGCGGCGTGTGTGTCGCACATGTGCCGCGGCATGCATTGTAACATGCGCCGCCACGCATCAAGCACACCATGTCACGACACAGTTGCGCGGGTCCCACACGTTGCAAGCAAGCAACCAGCAGGATGGAGCGGCCCACAGGAGGGGTTTGGCGGAGCAGTTGCAGGATTGCCAGCAGCCGTTGATTGTTGGGTTGCGAGTGAAAAGCACCCAATTGGGAGGGACAGCCATGCGTTGCGGAAAGGAGGAGGAGGAAGAGGAGGGGGAGGATGGGAAGACGTGCAGGCGGGGGGGGGAAGAGAGAGGAGACAGAAAAGAGAGGGGAGAGGAGAACAGGGTAATAACAGCCAAAGGGGCGAGCAATACACCAGACCTCCCCACTGCTGTCTTTGGTGATTGAAACGGGCTTTAAGCGCTGCAGATGTTGTGTGTGTGCAGTGCAGGCTGCGAGAGGTGATTTGAAGCATGACAACTCCAAGACATGATGACGTGAAAGAGTGGAAGGATGATGCAGCCTGTGCTGTTGCTGTGCCTGGTGGCTGGGGTGGAAGGGGTGTGTGAAGATGGAGGAGAGATAACAGGGGTTGAAGAAGAGTGAGGGAGGAATGAGGTTGACATTCGAGTTCCAGTTGGTGAGGAGTGAGCATGTACGAGTGGGAGAAAAAATGTGATTCAACCCCTCTTCTCCTCACATCTCTTCTTCTCAACCCTGCTAGACTCAACTTTCTCTTTCCCCTCACCTCTCTCTTCTTCGCTATCCCCGCTGTCTGTCTCTTCCACTTCTATATCCAGCTTCTTTCTCTGCACGTTCTCCTCTGCCGTGTACCACTCCTCCTCCTCCTCCTGCTTCCTAAAAAGCCATACTCACCTCAATAACCGTTTTAAACACAAGCCTTATGAACCCAGCCTTGCTTCTCCTCTGCAGTGTACCACTCCTCCACCTGCTTCCTAAAAAGCCATACTCACCTCTCTCAACCGTTTTAAACACAACCCTTATGAACTCAGCCTCGCTTCTCCTCTGCCGTGTACCACTCCTCCTCCTGATGAAAAAACGGCCATACTCACCTCTCTCAACCGCTCTGAAAACAACCCCCTATGAACCCAACCGCACTTCCTCTTACCTCTCTCTTCTTCGCTATCTCCTCTGTCTCCTCCACCTCTATATCCAGCTTCTTTCGCTGCACGTTCTCCTCTGCTGTGTACCACTCCTCCTCCTCCTGCTTGCCCAGCCCCAACCGCGCATCCCTCATCTCCGTTCGCACCGGATCCACTATGCCTGGGAGGTGGGAGGAGAAAGAGGTTGGAATTTGGGCAGGGGGGAAGACCGCGCATTTCTCATCCTCCCGCTTGCCCAGCCCCAGCCGCGCATCCCTCATCTCCGTGCGCACCGGGTCCACTATACCTGGGGAAGGAAGGGGACGGGGAAGAGAGCAGTGGGGTTAGGGATTGGTGACCTCTGAGATTCTAAAGGCGTCCCTCCCTCATCTCCGTGCGCACCAGGTCCACTATACCTGGGGGGATCGGGGGACAGCGGGAGTGGAAGTGGGGGGGAGCAGTAGGACTTTGAGCCAACTGAAAGGTCGTCCCTCACGCACTTCCGTGCGCACTGGATCCACTGTGCCTGGGGGAGGGGGAGACAACGGGGAAAGGGGGGGTGGGAGGGGGTGATGTGGGGTGGGGAGGGGGTTGAGGCTGGGGGGGGTAAGGCAGGAAATGGGGAGCTGGCAAGGGGTTGAAGAGGCGAAAGAGTGGGGCACAATCTTTCTTTCTCTGCACATTCCCCTCCGCTGTGTGGTTGGTGTACTATCCTTACTCTTCCTGCTTCCCCAGCCCTAGACCCGTGTCTTTAATCCCTCTCTCACTCCCCTCCCCTTGCTTCCGCTCATGCCTGCTCTCACCTTGCTCGTTCCGTCCCAGCCCCTTCCCCCGCCACCCCATCTTCAGCAGCAACTGGAACCCCACGTTGCTGCACGCTATCGGCTTGTCTAACAAAGCCATCTCCAGCCCCTCGCGGTCCAAATTCTCCCAAATAGCAGCTTCTCACTCGCTCTGCTGTCCCTCTCCTCGTTCCACTCAACCCGATTCTTCCAGCTCACATCAGCCTTCTTTCAATGTTTCCTCTCAGATTGTTCCGCTCTCTCTTGTCACTTTCATGCGTCTCACCTTGCTCGTTCCGCTCCAGTCCCTTCCCCCGCCACCCCATCTTCAGCAGCAGCTGGAACCCCACGTTGCTGAACGCGATTGGCTTGTCCAACGAAGCCATCTCCAGCCCCTCACAGTCCAGATTCTCCAAAATAGCAGCTTCTCACTCGCTCTGCTGTCCCTCTCCTCGTTCCACTCAACCCGATTCTTCCAGCTCACATCTTTCAATGCTTCCTCTCGGATTGTTCCGCTCTCACTTGTCACTCTCATGCGTCTCACCTTGCTCGTTCCGTCCCAGACCCTTCCCCCGCCACCCCATCTTCAGCAGCAGCTGAAACCCCACGTTGCTGCACGCGATTGGCTTGTCTAACAACGCCATCTCCAGCCCTTGGCGGTCCAGATTCTCCAAAATAGCAGCTTCTCACTCGCTCTGCTGTCCCTATCCTCGTTCCACTCAACCCGATTCTTCCAGCTCACATCTTTCAATGTTTCCTCTCGGATTGTTCCGCTCTCACTTGTCACTCTCATGCGTCTCACCTTGCTCGTTCCGTCCCAGACCCTTCCCCCGCCACCCCATCTTCAGCAGCAGCTGAAACCCCAAGTTGCTGCACGCGATTGGCTTGTCTAACAACGCCATCTCCAGCCCTTGGCGGTCCAGATTCTCCAAAATAGCAGCTTCTCACTCGCTCTGCTGTCCCTATCCTCGTTCCACACAACCCGATTCGTCCAGCTCACATCAGCCTTCTTTCAATGTTTCCTCTCAGATTCTTCCGCTCTCTCTTGTCACTCTCACGTTTCTCACCTTGCTCGTTCCGTCCCAGTCCCTTCCCCCGCCACCCCATCTTCAGCAGCAGCTGGAACCCCACGTTGCTGCACGCGATTGGCTTATCCAACGACGCCATCTCCAGCCCCTCGCGGTCCAGATTCTCCGTGATCCGATGGTCGATCGGCAGCCGGAACTCATCTCCATCGTCCAGCGACTGCCACGTGGCGAACGGGGAGTGGGGGGAAAAGACGGGGGAAGGAGAGGGCTGGTGACGAAAAGGGAAGAGTGAGGGAGTGAGACGAGGGGAAGCGGGGAGGATGAGGGGAGAAAGTGAAGTGGAGGAGGAAGAAGAGCAGGAGAAGGGGAGGGATGATGAAAAGGAGAGTTGTGAAAAAGAGGGATGAGGGAGAGAGGTGAGAAGGAGGGACGGCGAGCATCTGCGACATGCCGATGTTATGCAAAAGGTATGATGCTGTTGACTGCTCTTTAACGTTACTCGTACGAACCAACATGGTTGACACAAGGGTTTGAAATTCGTCTGATTCCCTCTCCAAATTTCCAGTTAGAACGTATTCCGCTACCTGCATTTAAATCGCTTGCAGGCGACGAACGCTCGAAAACTTGAGCAGTTGCAAAACCCGCGCGTACGACAAGCTCGAGTAAAATAGTTTCTCGAATTTCGCCAATGAAACTGATGGCTTCACGCACGGGGAAGCTGGGGATGTCAGGGCGAAAACGAGACAATGACTACGGTTTGCAGATTTCCCTTAGATCTTGGCGCGGCTCGTCTCAGGTTAGCATTGGATGAAATTCCTGAAACAAGCCTGATCTCTTGGCTTGGCTGCTTTGCTAGGCTGAGGTGAGGGTGTGTTGGTTTGGGACGGATCACCATCGATAACGAAGGAAGGCGAGTTAGCGAGACGTTGCAGGCGATGAGAGCTTCCAATTCCGACCGCCTACCAAGTTTTCTCCGTCATAACACACCTGAAATGTAGCCAGCTCTAATGTGGTAGCCAACTTTTCCACAGAAAATCAATCTCCGCGAACATTTGCGACAGTAAATGGAAAAGCGAAATTAATCCTGATCGCCAAAGCGTCCACAATCTCGCGAATTCATGAGTTCGGATCGGAGTCTTCACGACGATAGCGCTTTTAGGGTTTCAGTTCAGTTTCAACAAGCTTCGAGGTTCCCATTCTCAGCTAGATCAGATCAGCTTCGAGGTGATCGCGATTATATCAGCTTCTAAGCTCCTTGGGTTAGGCTGTCACTACCTAAAATAAGGCAGAGATAGGAACTTTAGCAGGACGTTACCGATTCTTAATGCGAAAATAATTCATCATCGCGACTGCTGTGATCACAACCTAGACCGCGTTATCCCTTCACCCGAATTTTGCGCCGATAGCCTGCAACGGACGCAATATCCGGCTTAGTTGTAATCCTTTGCGTGAGAAAAACGGGCGAGCTCTGCCGTAGCACTAACGATGGCGCGGCAGGTGTCTCGCGATCGGCGAGCATCAGACAAGGACGAGAAGGAAGGCACAGCTTCAGGAGGGTCCGATTCGAAACGACGACAACGAGCGAACGCCGGGAGGCGGCACGAGGCGGAAACCCCTCCCGTGGGGAAGATCGTGGTGACTTTCCTCCTCACGGCCCTAGTCGCCGCGTTGTGCGCGGTGGTGGTGTATTACACGCAGGACCGCATGGTGAATGCTGGTGAGTCGCCGTTCTCTCTAACGAGGTGATTTTGTAGTAGACTCGTGGTTTTCCTCCTCGCGACTTCTAGTCGCAGCTCTGTGCGTGGTGGTCGTGTATTACACGCAAGATTGCATGGTCAATGCTGGTGACTCGTCATGCTCTCGCATGGTGAGGTTGAAGACTTTGCCTCCTTCTCTCCTATGGCGTCTCCTTGCTTCTCTCTGATGCCGTTGCGAATGCATGGTTAATGCCGGTAAGACTCCAATGCTCCGGAATTTATGGTAAGAGCAGATGTTTGGTGGGGGAAGGAGAATTTCTGTATTGAATGCTGTGATGAACACGGTGATGGGATATTGTGATTGAAGAAATATCGTGGTGATGTGAAATTCCATGTGCCGTATTGTGATGGACTATGTGAATGTGAATGTGAAGGAGAGATTGGAAGGGAGGAGGAGGGAGGGAAGAGATATTGTCGTTAGGGAGGAACCTTGGTAGGACAGAAAAGAGGAGGAAGCAAACAAGTGTTGCTTTAGAGGCTAGAGAGGGAGAAGGCGATTGAGGATGTGCTAAATGGAGGAGGGAAGAGATTAGGGTGGAGAGTGGGCACGAGGCAGAAGAAAATCTCGTGATGGTTGGTTAGCAGCAGGTTAGGGCGTGGAACATCCTGGCAAAGTCGGTTCGGTTCGAACTGTCACGGCTCTGAAACGTACTACCGTATACCTTACTGCAACATAGAGTTTACCAAATAGACCATTTTTTCGTGTTCAGGCAGTGCGGAACTTGTGGAAAATATCCCAGATGTTCCATGCCCTTTGAGCAGTGAAGGAGGTGAAGGAAGTGAGAACTAGGGGGCTTTGGGTGGAGGTTGATGGAAATCGTCCAGTTGAGAAGGGAAGTAAAACAATCTTCCGTTTCTGCATTGTTTGCTGCCGTTTCTTCCCTTGTCTCCTCCACCATTTTCTGATCCTCCCTTCCCGATCCAGTTGCATTACAAGGTTACAAACTTCATATGCTGTACAACGACTACACTGTAGCTGCCAAGAAACAGATCAATATGATCTTAGGGCTCCCCATGCCAAAAGAGTGAATGGCAGGCTGTTGTGCTTCAGTTGCTATGAAATTATCACAATGTATAGCATTCAGCCTTTGTTATAAGTCATTCTAGCCAAGCCTGCGAATTCCTGAGAATACAGAGGACACAGAACGCAGTGAATATGTGACGTCGGGGCATGCTACAGTTCAGCCAATTTCAGCCAAACGAACCAATGAAATTCGAAATATTCTCATCAAAGAAAGGTAATGCTATTTTCATCTAATAAACTTATTTTTCAACCCACCTCAGCCCACCCAGCATTTCTGGAATCTTGACAAATTATTTCCCATACCTCGTGACAAATACCCCCTACTAGACCAGCCTAGTCGCACTTGGACCTGCACTTCTCGGCCTTGCGCTTGCACTTCTTGTAGTCATCCGTGCACTCCTCGTGCTCCTCTTTGTCATCCTTGTACTTGCGCTTGCACTTGGTGTAGTCCGTGTTGCACTTCTTGTTCTTCTGCTCGCACTTCTGCTTGCAGCTGTGCAGCATGCGATGCGCCTGCGGAGACCACAGGAAACGCCTGCTCCCGCCGAACAGCTTGCTCAGAAAACCACCTGCTGTCAATTACAATGAAAGCCATGTCAATACAGAAAAAAACATATGGCAGCCGTGGTCAATAGCAATTAGAACAGGAAGGTCGGCAGAAATGGGGCATACGGCGCAATTTTATTTTCTTGGGGCTGGCCTGAGCTGACGCACCAGGCTCCGACGCGGCAGAAATTTCAGTGTCCTCATCAACGTCCGCGTCGACAATATCGTCTTCCGCGACGATCTCATCCGCACGGCAGAGCGGCGCGAGCGCGAGGGACACAACCAGGGAGAGCGTGAGCAGGATGAGAAAAGGCTTGGAACGCCCCATGGCTGGATGAAAAAACTCGGAGCGCGGCAGTTGCTAAAAAGTAGAGATGAAAATCTTGGAAGAGCTTTTCTTGAACTGAATGAATTTGAGAGTGGGCGACGCACCTTTTTGTACCAAAGCGGGATGAGGCAATGCATATGCAATGCTTGCTCGGGTCTATACCGAGGCGGGACTGTGGCTATGGAACAGATTGGCTAGTCTTGAAATTTGGTAAGGATGAGGAAGGGTAAATGGTGAATGCAGAGAAGGAAAGGACTTTCAACGAGAGGGTATCTACAAAGATGTAAAAATTTTAAATACAATTTTCAAAATTTAAAGATTATGACAAGACTTGTAAAGGATTATGCAGTAAGGAGTCATCTGCTCCTTATCTCGTGGCAGGTCCACAGACCTGCCACCTATCATTTCTAGATCTGAATCTAGAACAGCACACCTAGGGAACTTTTCCACCCTCCTAGACTAACTCGCCCGCCATTGCTGCTACCTCGTACATGACGAGAACTTCGTACATGCTGCTTCTACGAATGAAGCGATATCTGCTGGAAGTTTCTGCAATTGCAAGTACAAAAATCGTTTTTTGTATGGCAAAATCATAATATACACTGCTGATACATCTACGTGCAACATACTGCGCGGAACATATTGCCGCTGCTTCTACCAGTGGCGATCTTCCTCGATACTGCTGCATAGGAGGTGTTCGTTTCGGCGGCTGCGGTCGTTGCGACCTCTTGGAGCTGGCGATGCTGCTGCAGCGACTATGACTGCTGCTGCTGCCGGGACGGTTGCTGCTGCTATGAGACGAGCCGCTGCTGCTTACGCTGCGCATGGCGAGACAACGGCTGCTGCTGTTGCGGTTGGAACAAACTCACGGTGGCATGTGGCAAGACCGCTGCAGTTGCGGGTGTCCTATCGCTACTGCTATCCTGTTATCTGCTGCTGATGCATGATCGCTACTGCTGCTGCGCACGAATCTTGCTGGAGCTGCGAGATCGCCGCTGCTGCTGCTGCTGTGCGATCAATGTTGCCGCTGCTGTGCGCTGTTGCTGCTACTGTGCGATTGCTGCTGCTGCTACTTCGCGATCGCTGCTGCTGTGCGATCGCCGCTGCTGTGCGATCGCTGCTGCTGCTGCTGCTGCCGCGCAATCGCTGCTGCTCCTGCTTCGCGATCGCTGCTGCTGTGCGATCGCTGCTGCTGTGCGATCGCCACTGCTGTGCGATCGCTGCTGCTGCGGCTGCCGCGCGATCGCTGTTCCTATGCGATCGCTTCTGCTGCTGCGCGATCGCTTCTGCTACGGCTGCCCGATCGACGCTGCTACTTCGCGTTCGCTGCAGCTACTCCGTGATTGCTGCTGCTGGGCACGATCTGCGCTGCTGGCGCGCGATCGCCTTTGCTGGCCTGCGATCGCCATTGCTGGTGCACGATCGCCGCTGCTAGCGTGCGGTCGCTGCTGCTGCCTCAATAGCGCATCTGCTGTGGCGTGATTTGCTGGTGCTATCGAGATCGAGATGGTGCTGCTCTGCCTGACGACACAGCAGCTACCACAGCTATGAGGGACGAGAAGTTGCCCTCGCTGCTATGTGCAAACTGAAATTGCAGTTACTGGTGTAACTCTTGATTTGGTGTTAAAAGATTGTGGTGGCCTATAAGATTATGGCCTTAAAAAAAAAAAAAAAAAAAAAAAAAAGACAAGGCCCAAAGAAGATTATGATTCAGTGTAAGGGCCAGAGCATGACACTTGCAGTATTGTGTCGTGCAGCATAAGAGGCCGTCCGCGTGCATCATTATGTCTGAATTAATATGCGGTATGCCGGATTTGTACGCCTCATAATAATTAGTAACGCGTTCTTCCCCTATTATGGGATGTGAAGCACTTAACACGCTTCTACCGTACCTTCTATTGGGACGCACACCCGTTTCAATTACGGCGATGGATTTTTCTGCTGGCTAAATCGCAAACTTGCAATGGTTGGACAATAGTGTCGACTTTGTTGTCGAGCATATGCGTACTTACGCTGAAAACTGGTGATATCACCGTGCATCCAAAAAAGAGAGAGAAAAAAAAAAAAAGTAATAATGAGGGGGGGGGGTACGGGTACCCTGAGGGCCGTGATAATGAGGCATTTCCAAAGTAATTTTGCCATCTACGGTACCATATCTCTCAATTATTCGGCGCCTTAATGCAGAAATTGCCAAAACTACGTGGTCGAGTTCAATTCAACCCTTGCTGCCATTTCAACATTATGATGTGTTTTTCCGTAAATGGTAACACTCCCTTCCTAAGCTATCGCTCGGACGTACCACCACTCCTCATAATTATGGCGCTGAAGTGATTCGGCTGACTGTGACGCAAACGCGCACATCGTTTACGCAATTGTCGAGTACTTGTTGTCATTCAGTTGGCGCTATACAGAAAATTGTCGACTCCAAAAAAAAAAAAAAAAAAAAAAAACTATTCTCATCGCCTTGAGACCTATCGTAAACGCGTCATCATTGTCGAACTTTCAACGTTTTTATGTTCAATCCCTGATTTTCAGCGTTCGGTTTTAGCAAGGTCTGCATTTCGGAGCAATTTCCAGTATACGACATAGTCTTTCGCGGTATGACAAGCCATGCCAGCGTCTTGGTGTGACCATATCCATGTGCTAATTGAAGGCTCTTGTTGGGAGCCACAAGCCGTTTTTTTTTACAGCACGCTTGGATACATGCACAAGGATCCTCTTACATTCACATATCATACATGCACATTCATTGTAGAAAAACCCACCAGGACATGAAAGTCCATGTGGATAGCGCACACGTACTTGATTTCTTCGGACTCGTTGTGACGTGTATACCCCATTTGGATTGACCATTTCACAGCCCCTCACCTTGAAGTCTTTCGTCTTTTTATGAAGTCACACCACCAAAAGGGGAAGGATATCGATCTGGCGTGCGATCTGTCAACATCATTGCACTTTTGTTAACACAAACTCGTGTCTTGAGCATGCACGTTACGAGCATAATGCTGGAGGATGGATTGGAAATATTTGGTTGGTTGTCGCTTCTATGCGCACATCTAACCTTATAGCTGATGTGATTCGGACCTTTTGGTCTATACAAAAGGTGGATCTCGTCGAGAGGCGGGTTGCTTGCCCTCACACACCCACTTCACTGATGATATTCCATGTCGTAATGGCTCACGTTTCATAAAATTTCCCATATCGTATAGCATGGTTTTTCCATTGCGTACTAACCGTTGGTTCCCCTTTTCATGGCTCCTGCATCTATTGAACCTTGAACACATAGTGCTACCGTATTTACAGAGGCGCTAAATTCGATACTGCATGTTTTGCTGTTAATTGACAACGAATGCCCTATCAAGGGCACCGGATTGTAAGCTGGTTATACAAGCTGTATGCATTGTACACATTGGAAATGCGTCAAAGTTTGGTATGTGCTTCACAACTCCTTTGCAGCAACATGCCACTAGTCTTCAGCCTTAATACTCGAGGCAACATCGTTTGCATACCATGCAACCAGTGCATCAACATGTTAACGTGAGCAATACGTCATCGACCGTGATCTACGGTAAATACGACTTAGTCATGTAGTCATGCTGCGAAAGGCCCGCCCTACATCGAAGTGACGTAATGTTATTGCACAATGTTGACATTATGCTCAATTCAACAACTATGGTTAGCTACCATAACTTCCCGACTTCATCACTTACGTGCTCGGTCGTCGGATAAACGACTAACATCCTCGAACGACTGCCAAAGGGTTTTATTTAGGTTCTCTTACGAGATGGATGGCGCCTCATCGCTACTGACGATTTCTTGCGTCAATCACTGTGCAACTTATTGCTCACTCGATTCTTACGCGCATCTGATACTTCTTTCATTGTTCTCTTCTTGGGAACCTCCCCCACAATAGTAGGTGAGGGTATATAGTTCCTCTATTCCATTCCGTCCTTCCCTACTAAGGTAAAACCCTGAGTTCTAGAGCCTTGCTCCCGACGCACCTAATGTCTCTTATCTCCTATGACGACTGCTCTGCAGACTCCTTGGAGAGTCTTGTCTTAATATGTAAAATTTTTAAATACAATTTTCAAAATTTAAAGATTATGACAAGACTTGTAAAGGATTATGCAG